CATCCTTTAAAAATAAATACATACGGAGTACATGCCTGTAACCCAAGCAACTTAGAAACTGAAGCGGAGGATCACCTGATGCCAAAGGTTTGCTACTTGCCTGGGCAACAGAGCGAGATGCCATCTCTTTCATTCGTCATTCATTCATTCATTCATAAAGGGACATCAAGGATTTCTCAAACACAGAAGGAAATCACTATCAATAGTCAAAAACTATGTTTAAAAAAAAAAAAAAGTTCTTCAGGCTAGAGGGAAACAATCCTCTAAAGAAAAAAGAAGCTGCAAGAAGAAATTAAGAACACTGCAAAGGGTAAGTATGTTGGTAAACATAAAAGCATATGAATATTCTAAATAACATTGTCTTATCAAGTACATAACATGTACAGGTAGTAAAACAAACTAAATACAACAGCATAAAGGAGGGCAAGAGGTAAAAAGTGTTAACAAACTGTTGTAAGGTTCTTGTACTGTTTGGAATATGATAAAGTACTAATTTAAGGCATGCTGTAATAAACCAAAGAATATGTATTATAGTCCCTAGGGTACCACTAAAAGAAATATACAAAGACATATAACTAAAAAAAGTTAATATTCCAATGAATTAATTTTGATCAGCTTGGTAAAAATTCAAAAGCTTGATATCATACTGCTGCCATACACACGACTGGTGCAAACGCAAAATGGTACAACCCCAAATGCAGGGAATTTGCAACACCTACCAAAACATCGTATGCAATCACACCCATTTAAACAGCAAACCTGCTTCTAAAAATCTATTGCAAAGATAATGCTTGGAAAAAATATGAAGCTACATTTCACTACAGCCTTGCCAATACGAAACAGAAAGGCAGTCCCATGGACAATATGGATCTTTACGGATTTTTTAAAGTAAATAACAGGACAAGCCATAAAAGATTGTTTATATGAGAGGAAACAGGGAAAGTAAAAGAAGATAGGCTTTTTGTAGATATTCTTGTTTGCAGATTTGACTTTTAGAACTATGTAAATATTACATAATTATAAAAGCAAAATATAAACTTTAAAAAGTAGTCCCTAAAAATAAGAACAAAATGAAGTAAATGAACAAAACCAACTTGGTGGCATAAACAAAGAGATGGATTATTTCAAATGACTTTAAAGCATATTAATTTTATTTAACACAAAGTAAAAAAAAATCCCAAGAACAGAAAGAACTGTAAAAACATTGTTTTAACTTGTTCAATAATAATACTTTTGGTGGCAACTTGAAATCTTGTACTGTGGGATAAAGCAAATGCGTCACTATGCTATCATTATTGGGAATTAGGCCACTCAGCATTGGGGAAAGGAGATATAACATCAATGAAGTTAAATAAAAACACCGTAAACCTAAATATGAATTGGTGGTATCAGTATCAACTTTCAAAAGAGCCTAGAAATAATGGTCAACCCAATGGAAATGAATAAGCCCAGACTGTGGTCTCTAAATACAAAATAAACCAAGGCTCTCTGTGGAAATGAACAATTTCAGGTATGGATGAAGCAATATCCAAGACTGGGTAATTTATAAAGAAAACAGGTTTAATTAACTCACAATTTGGCATGGCTGGGGAGGCCTCAGGAAACTTACAATCAGTGGAAGGCACTTCTTCACAGGGCAGCAGAAAAAAGAATGAGTGCCAACGGGAAAAATGCCAAATGCTTACAAAACCATCAGATCTAGTGAGAATTCACTATCAGAAGAGCAGTATGGGGGGAACCACCCCCATGATTCAATCACCTTCCACTGGGTCCCTCCCAGTGGGGATTATGGGGATTACAACTCAAGATGAGATTTGGGTGGGTACATAGCCAAACCACAGCAGGGAGAAAAAATAAGTCAACTGAGTTTGGTACATCTTGTCATACCAGAAAATAAGAAGGCTTATCAAAAATTACTAAGGTTATGACCAAAAGATTCAGAAGCCAACCTCATAAAGATTCTATCATCCAATGCTAGGGTAATTTAAGCATCAATGAAAATCACTGAAACGTCTAATACATGTCTCAATCTACCACTTACAATTACACTTAAAAACAAACATGTTAAAAAGCAAAACAAAAATATAACAATGGTACCTTGAGAGACCATAAAAATCACTCCTTTTATTAACTAGTAAAGAATGAAAAATAATTATTCAGCTATTGTCTTGGGCAATCAAACGGAAGGTGAGAAGATATCCTTTATATATTTCTACTAAATTATTAATGCTTATTTTACTTCTCATAAATGAAAAGTGATTATTAGGTCTAAAATACTACCAGTTTGTAACCCCTATTACATAGACACTTTGTTTCGGCAGCTTGTTAAGAGACAGACACTATGTACTTCTTGATATAAGAACTCACTATGGCTTTTCAATCCTCTTTCCTTACCAAGAAAAAAAAATAAAGGCCCTAAACTCATTCTGAAGAGGTCTCTAGATCCAATGACCGGTTTACAAGAAATACGCTAAGGACACTGAGAAAATTAAACTTTGACATCTATGGATATCCATTATCAAGAAATTATTGGTTTATTTTTTAAGTGTGATAACAATAATGCGACTGTGTATTTTGAGAAGCATTATCTTGAACTACATGATGAAATGATTATAGATTAAAATTAGTCAGGTGTCGCTTAACAAATGGGATGTGTTCTGAGAAATGTGTGTTAGCCTATTGTGTCACGCAAACATTACAGAGTATACTTGAAAAAAAAACCAAGTTGGTACAGCCTAATACACACCTAAGCTGTCTAGTTTAGCCCACTGCTCCTAGTCTAGAAACCTGTACAGCATGTTACTTTACTGAATACAATAGAGAGCTGAAGTGAGTATTTTTATATGTTAATATATCTACACATAGAAAAGGTACAGTAAAAATACGATATAAAAAAATAAAAACCAGTATGTCTGTATAGGGCAGTTACCATGAATGGGGCTTAACAGAAATGAAAGTTTCTCTGGGTGAATGCGTGAGTGGTGAGTGAATGTGAAAGCCTACAATACTACTATACACTACTATGAATTTTATAAACTCTATATATTTATATATACTAAATTGATAAGAAATATCTTGATCAAATTAACCTCAGTTTTCTGTAACTTTACTTCATAAACTTTTTTTAACTTTGTTGTGCAGTATTAACTAGCTTAAAACACAAACACATGCTGTACAAAAATATTTTCTTTCTTTATATCTGTATAAGCTTTTTCCTAATTTTAAAATGTTTCTTTTTTTTTTTTTTTTTTTTTTTTTTATATTTTTTTTTTTTTTTTTTTTTTTTTTTAAAAACAGTCAAGACACAAACACAACCATCAGCCTAGGCCTGCACAGGGTCAGCATTACCAGTATCATTGTACTCTACACCTCCATATTTTATGTCCCACTGAAAGGTCTTCAGAGGCGATGACAGGCATGAAGCTGTCATCTCCTATGACAACAATGCTTTCTTCTGGAATAACTACTCCTGAGGTTTACAGTTAACTTTTTTCTTTAGTATGTAGAAGGAGTACATTCTAAATCAAGCTTGTTCAACGCATGGCCCAGGACAGCTTTGAATGAGGCCCAACGCAAATCCGTAAACCTTCTTAAAATATTATGAGAATTTTTTGTGATTTTTTTTTAAGCTCACTCAGCTATCGTTAGTGTTATTATAGTTAGTGTTACTGTATTTCATGTGTGGCCCAAGACAATTCTTCTTTCAACATGGCCCAGGGAGGCAAAAAGACTGGACACCCCTGCTATAAATGACAAAAGCATAGTTAAATAGTGTGTACTGTATATATATAGCTAAATGATAGGAATTTTTCAGCTCCATTATAATCTTGTGGGACTGATGTAATGTATGTGATCTGTTGTTGAATGAAGCATCATTATGCAGCACATGACTGCATATAATGCCTGGGATTCATTTCCACCTAATATGGGAAGAAGGATGTGAGTAAGGCTAAAGATAAAGACTGGACATGAAGTAGGCACTGTTGAAGCTGTGTCATGGGCAAAAAAGAGTATGGCATTGTTTTTGACTGTAGTTCTAGTCCATGTTTTATATTAAGTTCATGTGTAAAGGCTGATGGTAAATAAAGGTTTCTGATATTTTAAAATCAATACCCTTAGGGACCCCTTGCAACTATTTTTTTTTTCTTTCCAGGCTTCTCCCCAGTGCTAAAGTCAAATTTCTCTTAAAAACAAAACTTAAGAAACATTATCTGATTGCAATGTATAGATTATATTTTGATCCCAATTCAAAGAAACAGGCCAGGCACCATGCTTCACACCTGTAATCCCAGCACTTTGGGAGACCAAGGCAGGCAGATCACCTGAGGTCAGGAGCTCGAGACCAGCTATCCAACATGGTGAAACTCCGTCTCTACTAAAAATACAAAAATTAGCCAGGCTTGGTGGCAAACACCTGTAATCTCAGCTACTCAGGAGGCTGAGGCAGGAGGATTGTTTCAACCCGAGAGGCAGAGATTGCAGTGAGCCAAAATCATGCCACTGCACTCCAGCCTGGATGACAGAAGCAAGACTCTGTCTCAAGAAAAAAAAAAAAAATGCACACGAAAACCAATATCCTTATGTCTAAATATTTAAAGCTATATATTAAAAAAAAAAAAAGAAAAAAATCAGCTATAGAACAGTTTAATGTTTTATCCTCTTACCTTGACAAAGATACCATTATGATAAACTCAGGACTCAGGATTCAAATCTATGCAAAACATGCCATCAGGTGCCATATTACCAATGTATGAGTGTTTGAGATTCTTTATTCTTCTTTTGTTCAGACAAACAATCTCGCTATAAAATCTGGATGGTTTTCTAATAATTCCAATTCAGCAATGAAAGTTGTATTTAAGGTGTGAATGTGCACAGCCTTATTTTTAAAAATGGGTTAAAGTTGGTAAAAAAAAATTTAATATTTAGATTAACAGGTTACAAGTAAAAATAGCAGTCAACTAATTATTGATGGGTTTCAGGGAAGGAATATTTTTACTTACTAGCTCCGCTTCCAATTGTTCTATGGAAAAGTTGTGACATCCGAGGACCAAGAGGACCAAACAGGTGAGGGGGAAGACCCCTTGCCTCTAACAAAGCTAAAGAGAAGAGAAGGGCAGAGTGAACAGCTAGTTGACTTCATGTAACTGATCTATCTAAAAATTTCAAGTAACTGATTCATCTCACTTAATTGATTTAGTAACCAGTTTTCTGGACTTTAAGAGAAGCTACAAACTTTCAAGGCCACTCTAATATATTAATGTAATTAAAACAAATTAAAATGCACATGTGCCAGCTCCAATTATCTTAAGGTTTTATGAAGAAATTAAAAAAAAAATAAGTGCCAGTAGGAAGGTGTACACACTTCATGAACATCCTAAGGTAAATGTTTTGATATTTTGAAGAACTAATAAGTTAAGCACCCTCGCTCTGTTTTCTGTCTGACATTAATTCCCAATCAGATATTGGTCATCAGATCCTATAAAAAACACATGAAAACAGTGTATGATTTTTATCAGTTCCCAAAACTGAAAACAAAACATGATGGGCGTGGTGGCTCACATCTGTAATCCCAGCACTTTGGGAGTCCAAGACAGGAGGACCACCTGAGGTCCAGAGTTCAAGACCAGCCTGGCCAACATAATGAAACCCCGTTTCTTTAAAAATACAAAAATTAGCCAGGCACAGTGGCAGGCACCTATAATCGTAGCTACTCAGGAGGCTGAGGCAGGAGAATCACTTGTATGCAGGAGGTGGAGTTTGCAGAGAGCTGAGATCATGCACTCCAGCCTAGGCAACAGAGTAAGACTGTCTCATAACACACACACACACACACTCTCTCTCTCTCTCTCTCTCTCTCTCTCTCTCTCTCAAAACACATACATACTATGTGTTCATGAGTGTCCAAGTCTTAAGAGATAGTTGTCTGTTCCCTCAGGAACTTAAAAGCAATCAAAAATTATTTATAAATCATACATTTATTGTAAACCTCACACTGAGGTCTGTTATAAATCAACTGAGATAAAAATACATACCCATCCACACATATTAGGCTGCTTTTGTAAAAGCATTTGTAATATTAAAAAAAAAAAAGTTTGTGTATACACTACGCATTCATTTTGAAACAAATGATCAAGAAAAACAAAAACACATGGCCAAATGCCTTATTAAAACCCATTTATGCCACAGGGTGCAATTTTTTGAATTTTTGCATGAGTGAAAAGTCAGAACTTGGCAATGACCTTGAGCAGTAGGATATAAATAACTCCCAAATGCTTAGCGTTCCAATAATGGAACACTAGGCATAAGTGGGTTAAATGTATTCATAATGCTGGTGATACCAGACAAAAATATATTAAGGCACTCATTTAAGATTTTTAACTCATTTATTGCCTAAACAAACTATACATGCAACCACAATAAAGAAAAAAAATTTTAAACAAAAATAAATATGTAAGGCTTTAACTAGTTAAACAGTGAAGATGAAGGGGCAGATAGCTCACCTTCCAATTCTAAATAATGAAATTGCTACTAAGAATTTTTGTGGTTATTGCTACTGGTTTTTTTTTTTTTTTTTTTTTTTTTTTGGGAGGTGTAGGCACTGCCAGATTATGGTCAAATGAATTTAAATTAATTTCAATAAAGAATGGTATTAACAGGCAGCCCATGGTAATGGTTTCTTATAGGCTCAATAACTGTTTTTACCTTGCAAACGTCCCATCTCTGAATCATCTGATTCACTCTCCCCAGAGGTGGTCATGCCAACAGCTCCTGCAACAGAACTAGAGGCTTGGGGTGGAGGGGAAAGATGAGGGTTAGGAGAGGAATACTTAAACATATTATGTCTGGCTTATCTTAGAAAAACTGAAGTTTTGTGGACTACAATGAATAAAGACAATTGAACTCGTCTTGCCACTGTACACGCAACTGTTCTTCTAGACTTTATCCTGTAGCTTTTAGAAACAAAAGGAGAGCTCAACTATTTTAGCATTAAAAAGGTTGTAGTCTCATGCTTTTCATTTATACATGGCTTTTGACAAATTTCTCATGCCTCTGAAACTGTTCCTTAGTTAAGGTGTCCTGAATCCCTCTTTTGAAAGTCAATAAAGAACATACTGTGTAACAATTGTGATTATTTAACAGATGGCCAATTGGTAACAAAAATAAATAAAAAGGCAAAACTGACATTTAGGGGAAATGTTGTATGTAGATGTCTGCCTTCTAAGTCTGCTTTATTCCCAGACTACAGTCTTGATACAATCATGTATCTGTTTTAGTTAACTTCAAGAGTGCAAAAAGATATTACAACAGATGAGTGCTATGAAGCATGAAAGAGGCTGGGCATCGTGGCTTACACCTGTAGTACCAACGCTTTGTGGGCCAAGCAGAAGGATCATTTAAGCTCAGGGGTTCAAGGCCAGCCTGGGCAATATAGTGAGATGTGTAGTCCCAACTACTCAGTGGGGCGTGCCTGAGTTGAGAGCACTGCTTGGGCCCAGGAGGTAGAAGAGGGTGCAGTGCGCCATGATCATGCCACTGTACTCCAGTCTGAGCGGCAGAGCCAGATTGTCTAAAAACAAAAAGTATGAAAGGGAGGGCAACTAACATGTCAAAACTAGTGTAAAATCAAGAGTTAAGACTCAGGATACTATTAACTGAAATACTAACCTGATCAACAATGACAAAAAGATAGTCTAAGCTAATGGAGTTAAGAGTCTATTATGAATCCGAACAGGAAGTAAAACCATATCCCTGCAAAACTAGCAGTTCGTTGTGCTTCTATGTGTCTGTTGAGGTCAAAGGTTTTTTTTGTTTTTGTTTTTTGGGTGTTTTTTTTTTTTTTAACACAGATGATTGATCTACATAAGCTCTTCAACAATACCTTAAGCCCTATATACTGCACAGATTGTGACAGAATGCAAGCCAGGAAGAATTTTTTTTTTGTCATAATTGTTAAAGAGGCATGTGTGAATAACATATGTGAATTTAAAGAGCTTGTCTGAAGAAAAAGATGCCAAAATACCAGCCACCAACTATATTTTCATATTACCATTCTCTTCACACACCATTAAGTATTTTCTATATAACTTCGTTATTGGGATTTAAAATAATTCTTAGAAAAACTTATGGTTATAACAGGGTCAGCAAACTATGGCCCAAAGGCCAAATCCAGTCCACCACATGATTTTGTAAATAAAAATTTTATTAGAACATAGCTGTACTCATTCATTTACAGGTCTGTGGCTGCTTTCATGCTGTAATTACAGAATTGAGTACTTGCAACAGAGACTACATATAGCATAAAACATTTACTATCTGGCCTTTTACAAAATGTTGGAAACTCCACCACTCCCAAAAGTTTAGAGCTACACACAGACAGATTAACAGAAATACTAAAGTTGTATAAAGGTTGAGCAAAACCCACACTTCTGGTAAAGAAAAAGGAAATTAATAACTGTACACTATAATGCTACTTATAGGTAGGTAGCATTTATGAAACACTTACTATACATAGGCATTATCTAAGTTTCCTCATAACTGTACAAAAGGTATTATAATCATCATGCACATAAGGAAACTAAGGTTTTGTGACTTTGACCATACTTGGCCAATGTCAGATAGCTAGTTATGGATCAGAGGCTTGAACTCAGGAAGTCTGACTTCACAGTTTGTACCCTTAGAAACTGTATGACTCAAATATATTCTTTAGCAGTGATTTTTAATTCAAATACAGTTGCTTCTTCACATTATACAGAAATGCTGTTAACAAGTACTGTCACTAGGTACAATTATAACTGAAATGGCTCTTAAACTTATTTTAAGACTCTTTCATCTATGTGGAAAGCAAATACCAAGTTTTAACAAATGAAATAGTTGGTATTTTTAAAATACACTCTGCAGCTCACACATTAAAAAACAAACACACAAAAACCTAACCTATTAAGAGTAATGCTGAGGTGTTTTTTGTTTTTTTTTGTTTTTTGTTTTTTTGAAACAGTCTTGCTGTCGCCCAGGCTGGAGTGCAGTGGTGCTATCTCAGCTCACTGCAACCACCGCCTCCCAGATTCAAGCCATTCTCCTGCCTCAGCCTCCTAAGTAGCTGGGACTACAGGCACGTGACACCATGCCCAGCTATTTTTTTTTTTTGTATTTTTAATAGAGACGGGGTTTCACGATGTTGGCCAGGATGGTCTCGATCTCTTGACCTCGTGATCCACCTGCCTCGTCCTCCCAAAAGTGCTGGGATTAGAGGCGTGAGCCACCGCCCCGCCTTGCTTAGTTTTTAAGTTTATTTATCAGAGAAGCTACTTGATTTTACTTAAAATGTTCTCCAGATCTACAACCATTAAAGGTTTCTACATTGCTTCTTAAACATTTTATTCTAATGACTTTCGTATTTAACATCTAAAATTGCAGTGCCACAAAGATATCAATTAAGCAAAACATAAAACCTATAGAAGAACATAATTAAAAGAGTTGCTATGGTTCTCTAAGGTTCTAATACAGCAGGGTCCTAACCTTTGGTCAGCCACAGAACCTCTTTTTTTTTTTTTTTTTTTTGAGACAGGTTCTTGCTCTGTTGCCCAGGCTGGGGTGCAGTGGTACAATTTACAACTCACTGCAACATCCACCTTCAGGGCTCAAGCCATCCTCCTGCCTCCACTGTAGTTGGTACCACAGGCACATGCCACCAAGTCTGGCTAATTTTTGTATTTTCTTGTAGAGACAGGGTTTCACCATGTTGCCCAGGCTGATCTCAAACTTTTGAACTCAAGTGATCCACCAGCCTCGGCCTCCCAAAGTGTTGGGATTACAGATGTGAGCTACTGCCAAAAGTCTGATTTTTCAATGGGAGATAGGGTGCTTGTCTTGACAGAAATTGGAAACTAACTGCAAAGTAAAGAATTCTTTTGCCATACCTCTGATAGCAAGTATTAAGCTTTTGTTCACTTTTATGAAGTAGTTTAGGTTATCTGAAGTGGGAGTTTAGATATGAGTTATAAGTTATCTAATTTTGCAAAACATATATAAAAGAACTATTTTTGTATGTTTTACCAAATTAGTTTGGTTTTACAAAAACAAACACTAGTTTTGCATGTTTTAGAAAATTAGAAAACATAAACCAGCCAAGTCTTTGGCTAATTTAATTAGGAGTATAGAGGTAGCAGTTCCATGAAGTCATGCAGGTATGAAAACGTAATTAATCAATAGGAGTCAGCTACAGTTCTTTAGTCAAGGCTTCAAACCTCCTTGGGCATAGGCCAGATTTTTTCCCAGAGTCAAATATAAAAATATAACTCTCAGTAGATAAAATCCAATGCCAGATTTTCAACAGATATTTCTCCTGTTTAGTCTTAACATATCTTCACAGTACCGTGTAAGACAGTTTACAATATAGATAAAGGAAAAACTGAAGATACTGTGTAAATCAGAATACAAACATTCTATTATAGAGTGACAAGTTTTTATACTTTAATCAACGGACGAAAAGTTAACAAAATTTTTTTTATATTATCTAACCGTGATCATTTTTTCTGAAACTATAAAGGAACTCAAAGCAAAATGATGCTGACATTGTTTTACAAGTATAAAGAAAAATACTTCCTTCCTTACTTCAGTACGCTTAGCATTTGCAAGACTTTGGCAACATTATACAAGGCTGTACAGTTCTGATTATGTCCAAAACTAAGAATGCATAGGAGACCAAGTTTGGTGGCTCACACCTGTCATTGCAGCACCTTGGGAGGCTGAGGTGGTTGAATCACCTGAGGTCAAGAGTTCGAGACCAGGCTGGCTGACATGGTGAAACACTATCTCTACTAAAAATGAAAAAATTAGCTGGGAGTAGCGGCAGGTGCCTGTAGTCCCAACTACTTGGGAGGCTGAGGCAGGAGAATCACTTGATCCTGGGAGGCAGAGGTTGCAGTGAGCTGAGATCGTGTCACTGCACTCCAGCCTGGGCAACAGAGAGAAACTCCTCTTCAAAAAAAAAAAAAAAAAAAAGAATGCATAGGAGTCTGCCTCTGACTCTTGGGACAGTGTGGCAAACACTTAACTTTCAACTTTAAAGGTGAGCATTTCTTATATGAACAGCTAATGTGGTTAGGCTTTTAAAAAGAATAAAAACGTTACTTCCAAATAAATGTTTCCAATGGAGTCTTATATCGACTATGTAAGTACTATCTGAGAACATTTATTTGTCAAAAGGAGCTCTAAGTCCACAAACCCATGTTCCATACTAACTTAGGTTTGTATTTTCTTTTACATTCCCATTTTACACATACAGAAACTAAAGCACATTATCGTGAAGAATGTAATGTAAAGCTGTTAAGTAATTAGCTTCTTTCCCCATACTTTCATGTGACAGCAGAGAAATTCCTGTAATTCGTAAGAGATCTGTCCTCCAAAACGTAATGAAGTCAGCCCTCCTCTAATACAAGTGCACATGCCACATGTATTTTTTATCACCAGCTACAATAAACAACTTGGGAAACACCTGTATCACATTGTGATCTCAAACATAAGACAATGGAATGCCTGAAAGTGTTTAGAAAGGCAGTTATATAAGCCTGATTCCTGTACACTTTTATCCTCTTAGGTAAATAAACAGGGGAACAAAATTTTACACCCCATTCCCATTCCGGCCTTCAATTATATATCCTATGAATTATATAAACTTTTGCAACTGCAGAGAAATAGACAATAATGCTGTTACAAATATGCCTGCCTTTGGGAAGTCACACATCACAGCTTGTAACCCTGATTAAGTATAAGCAATATTTGACTTCATTTTTCCTCACGTATAAAATGATAATAACAGCACTCACACCTCAGCAGGTTGTTTGGAATATTAAATGAGAATATATGTAATGTGCTTAATACTATACCTGCACTGCAATGTAGTGTACACTGTATAAATATTAGTTGTAGTAATAACTGCAATGAGTCTACATTAATAGCCAGCAGCTCCTTTTCTGTTACCCGTTTGGGAATTGCCCCACTTCCACATTCAGGCTTATGAATAAACACCGAAAGACTAGGAAGGAGCGCACAACAGTGGGATAGGCTGTATGTCACAACCAGTGAGTTGCAATGAAATGGACTTTCAATATCTACCATTTAAACCTTCAGAAAAACTATTCTAGGAAAACAAATATGGGGGGAAAAAACTCCTCTCCCACCACTTAATTTCTCATACAAAACTGAGAAAGTGTTGTGGTTTAAAAAAAAAAAAAACACACTGGCCAGGCGCGGTGGCTCACACCTATAATTCCAGCACTTTGGGAGGCCAAGGCAGACGGATCACAAGGTCAGGAGATCGAGACCATCCTGGCCAACATGGTGAAATCCTGTCTCTACTAAAAATACAAAAATTAGCTGGATGTGGTGGCGTGTGCACAATCCCAGCTACTCAGAAGGCTGAGACACGAGAACTGCTTGAACCTGGGAGGCGAAGACTGTAGTGAGCCAAGATCATGCCACTGTACTCTGGCCTGGCAACTGAGCGAGACTCCATCTTGAAAAAATAAATAAATAAATAAATAAATAAATGCTAAGCTAGACAGAACAAGAAGACATCAGTGGTGGGCAAATCACAACCTTCATGGCCAAATATGACACATGACAACATATTCTAACAGTAAACAATAGTACCTGAAATATCTTTGTTCAAAAGGAAGTATATGCCTGTATTTAATTAAACCTGTGTGTATCATCTGATTTAAGGGACTCACACATATAAGCCTATAGTGACTGATTTTAGCATTTTTTATCTGTTGTTAATGTCATTTACAAATATCAACAGAAAGTACATTTTGATATTTATCAGCCAGAACTAACAGTTGAAGTATTAGTCTTGTTTTGGTATAGGTAATGGGTACATATTTAAAGCCGAAAGGAGAGAAAAGCCTTAATTTTTGTGTTTCTAATATATCAAGTATAAAAACAAGGAGCCCCTAACAATGTAAATACTATTCTTATAGCTAAGGTTCAAACTGAATATTTATATTTCAGGGTTTACAAAAATTCTAATTTAAAATTTATGTATGTGTGAAGCAATTTAAACTATATTCTTACATTTTTACTATGAATTTAAATTCTTTCAATCAATGGGCAGTTATACATACTAGTCTATAAAAGGCTTACACAGAAAAGATTTTACTTCCTCCTAAGCCTTTTGAATGTAATTAGTGCACATCTGGATGAGAATTTTAAAATGACAACCAAATCCAACTATCAATATATCAAACTGGTAAACTAAAACAAAACAGAACGAGAAGTTTATACGATAGTAACATCTAGCATACTTCCCTCCCTCTGGCCATCAAATCTGTAAAAGACAGAAATGCATTTTAAAGCTAAGAAGTACCAATCTACCTGCAGCTCCTTGGGGAGCTTCATCTGTCCGAGCAGCTGAAGAATTTACTGCCTCCTGGTTGCTTTCAGGGTCTGCCATTTTCTCCTGTCGACGAGCTTCAGCTGCTCCTCTTTTGCCCAGGCCAGAGCCTCGCCGACTACAACAGAAAAATGTCATCATGGGCAGCATTATCAGTGAACCAGGAGCAATGTATAGAAAACACAAAGCTCAAATTCATGGAGCACAAAGCCAGTTTCTTCTTCGTCCTCTTTTTCAATAAAAGTAAGTGCAGAAAAACACCATGTGTAACAACCAAGACTTTGTATATTTAAAATTCTTCCAAGTTATATTGCATTTACAATACAAGCTTTTGTATAACTGGGAGCTGTTGTCATCCTTAGAAACAGAAATGATTTTTAAAATACTTCCAACTAAACAGAAAAGTGACTTCCTGCAGAGAAAATTCAATTTATTTAAAATAGCACATCATTTCCAGGGTAAACAGTGGAGCAATGTATTAATACTGGCTGGGTGTGGTGGCTCATGCCTATAATCCCAGCACTTTGGGAGGCTGAAGTGGGTGGATCACCTGAGGTTAGGAGTTCAAGACCAGCCTGGCCAGTATGATGAAACCCTGTCTCTGCTAAAAATACAAAAATTAGCCAGGTATGGTGGCATGCGCCTGTAGTCACAGCTACGTGGGAGGCCAAGACAAGAGGACTGCTTGAATCCAGGAGAAGGAGGTTGCAGTGAGCTGAGATCACGCCACTGCACTCCAGCCTGTGCAACAGAGCAAAACTGTCTCAAAAAAAACACTAATACAAAGACTTGCAGACTAACACTGAGAATGAGAGGAAAGGTTTAGAGAAGAACAGATGTGAAAAAATTCCCAGCCGCTAAGTTCCAGATTACCTAAATCATCTAAAAATAACTATCCTAATAACAACTTCATTCTTTAAAATAAATTATAGATTTCGTATTATTAATAAATATATTACAGATAACATTTGGGAAAAACATTCATTTAGGACAGAGACACAATAAATTATGGAATAATGACCACTTGAAAAAAAATTAAATTTTATTGATGACAAACCTTTTTTTCTCCTTTAATAGAGAAATCAGTAAGCAAACTGGGTAAAAGCTAAAATATTCCCCTGGGAAATTACTAAAACTTGATAGCATTTAAGCAAAAGCTACCCAAATAATCTTAAGAAATCCAGAAACCTGTTACTAAAGACATGCTTTACACTAAAGTCACACTACAATGAAGTAAGAGAAATGGGCACAACTGACCTACAAAGAAAGGGTCTGGCTTACCTGAGAGCACTGAAGAGTTTATTCTCATTACAGAAAAAGCTTCCCTACACAGAAATGTGCTTCACTAATCTTTCCTTCACAAGGAAACAGCTCATTCCAAACTCATTTTACAAAACTACAAGTTAGTGGGATTCAAATTCACTCACTTAAGATCTAATCTCCAACAGCACACTGGGCTGACTACTTTGGATACATAGGGTTGCTGCCCTCAAGGAGTGAGGACAGCACTCCTAAGAGAAACAAGGACACCCTGAGTAGGTGACCAAGGCACAATACATAAACAGAATCCCAACTAATTCAGAAAAGATTCACCAGGAAGAGCACTTCAAGCAGGTGGCTAGATTAGATGGCCTGTGCACAGCATAAGCATGTCTACAGTAAGTAATTTCACATGCACTAATTATCATGCGTAGAAAGAGAGAAGGTTGCAGAGATCAGCAGGGAAGGCAAGACAATTAAACACTAGATTACCTGACTTCGCATACAGCTTAAAATTAATTTGCAGAAACAATAAATTGAGTTTGCACCTCAGACTAAACCTTAAGTAATTAAGATTCAAAATCTGGCCGAAAATAGGAAAAAATCTCTGGAAAACTAAGAAGTTTCTTCAGAAATCCTCAGAAAAGTTGCTATGCAACCTCAAAAGCAAACAGGTGCACTAAATTTAGATATTTTAAACAATGTAAAAAATTTAAAAACAGGTGGAAGAGGTTTAAGGTGGTAAGGGTATATTTCTTATGATTTATAGGCAACAAGTTTACTGATGTCACTACTGTACCAAGAGAAAATAGGTTATCTTAGATAAGAGTAGAGAAAATAGTTATCTTAAGAACCAAAAGAAGTGAAAAGATCTTTCTACTAACCTGAGTGGGAAAAGGCAAACAAAATCATTCTCCCATCACTAGTTTTTGACGCATTTACCGGAGGGAGCAAGCTACAGTCATGTGCTGCATAAGGATGGTTCTGTCAACAACGGACCACATGTACGACCACAGTCCTGCAAAATTCTTAATGCTGTATTTTTACTGTCCCTTTTCTATGTTTAGATGTGTTTAGGTGCATACATGCTTGCCATTGTGTTACAATTGCCTATGGTATTCTGTAAGGTAACATGCTATACATGTTTCAGGCCTAGGAGCAATAGGCTACACATGGCCTAGATGGGTAAGCTATACTATTTAGGTTTGTGTTTAAGTGTTCTCCATGATGTTTGCATAACAAAATCACCTAATGACACACATCTGAGAATGTGTCCTCCTCATTAAAAGAGGCATGACTATACACAGACAGAGAACTCATATGTAGCTACTGAATAATTAGCAGCAGAATGGCACCTGACCAACTGAGCAAGCCTGAAAAGCTGAGAGGAGGTTGCAGGAAAAAGATTTTTACCTTTTTACTTTTAGGCTGAGATTCCCAATCAGTTAATAAAGGTTTATGAAATATTAACTGTGTCACATCACAGGTAGTTATTTTGAAATGAGATCTACAGTAACTAGAAGCTAGAATTGGAGATGTGAAAGAACACACATAATACCCACACTTTTTCTTGAGAGGAAGGTGTTATAATATAAAATAAAAATTAAATACATTCCCCCTCCATTCATAAACTTAGTAATTGGTTCTACCACTTTTAGAAACTAATTAAGCAACAGTACAGCCATTAAAACAGGCATCCTTTTTGATTCATTAATCACAGTATTGGGAAACTTAACTACCTTTTAAAAAAACAATCCAAATCTGCATAAAGATGCTCATTAGAAGTGTATTTGGCAGACTAGAACTCTGGAAACAGTCCAAGGTCCCGCTACTGTCAATAGTACAGTGAAAATAGTGTAGCAGCAAAGGAAAGGTAGAGGATAAAAGTATTATCAAGAAGCAGAATGATTAAAACTCAGTAAAAACACGTAAATAAATATTGGAGAGAAATTCATGAAGATAATACCAGTCATGATAGAATGTCTTTACTCAAGTAAAAAAACAAGTTTTTTAATGATTTTTGAAAAATCATCAGGCATGGTGGTTCATGCCTATAATCTTAGCATTGGGAGAGGCTGAGGCAGGTGAATCACTTGAGGTTTCGAGCTCGTGACCAGCCTGGCCAACATGATGAAACCGTCTCTACTAAAAATACAAAAATTAGCTGGGTGTGGTGGTAGGTGCCCGTAATCCCAGCTACTCAGGAGGCTGAGGCAGGAGAAGCACCTGAAACCGGGAGGCACAGGTTGCAGTGAGCAGAACTCGCACCACTGCACTCTAGCCTGGATGTCAAGGGCAAAACTCCATCTTGAAAAGAAATTACCTACAGAGTTAAGAATTTCAATCAAACTTGAAACTGAGCAACAGAAGACAAATGAACTCACCATAAATGGAAAAAAAACAAATTACCTGGTACTAGCACAGGAGCCCGTGGTCTTTTGGCGTGTGCTCCGCCTCAAACTGGGGAGCTCAGCAGGTGGAGACTCACTGCGCTTCTTGGTAGATTTTCTTAAACCTATCCATGGAAAATGGGAAAGTATAATTTTATAACGAGAAATTATCATTAAGGAAAAATCAAGAAATTCTTCAGGTCAACACCCTGTTCAAAACTCGACAGAATCTTTCCATAATCTCTCCAGCAGTACTGCTAGCTTTACTTCCAGAGCATATTCATAATGAAAAGACTAATGGTGGCACTCGAGTTCAGGATCGGTCTTCTCACTTGGACCCAACCTTGACCCAACCTATCCCAAGAGTCCTGCTTATCTAACCTCTTTCAAAGTTCTTTTCTCATCTGCTTCTCCTTCTTCACTAACAAAGGTGAGGTTTTTGGATGTACTATTTATTTCAAGAATTTACTAAACATCATTAAGTTTACCAACTTTGTTACACTGTTCTTATATAGTCCTATTTTGGTTAGTTTATATAAGGCTCATCAATTAGGTATGAGAGAACCAAATGAATTATTCCACCCATCAGAAAGGTGCATGTCCTTACCTGAACTGAAGATGATTAAGAGGTCTGATTTATAAAATACTGTATAATGAGGGGGAAGAGTCAATTAAGCACACTTTAGGTATTATTTTGGAAGCTAATGCCTTTACAAGTCAATAGGCTCAAAAAAGACATATCAATTAAGTAAAGTTTCTCTCTATTTTATGAACAATAGGAAAGCCAAGACAGCATCCACCCACCCTTGGACAACCCTCACAATGTTACCATAAATTATGATATACTAGGCACTATACTCTATCTAAAAAAGACCTCCAATAGTGAAAGGTCTCCAATGTTACCAACCGTTATTTCCATAAGAACTTTGCATCATCTTAAACAGCTGTTAACTTTTTCAGAGACTAACTAGTTATACTATTGGTCCTGGTCACTTGCTTCTTTACAGGAAGTTTTAATGTTGCTGATTTCATTACTTTAAAGGGGAAAACCTAATTCTTTAATCCTTTGATTTGGAAAAAAGCAAGAGCAAAACATCTTGGAGAGAAGCAGTAAAAAGGATTCTAGACATTTTCTTGATCTTTCAGACTCAAAACTTCAGCTCATTCAACTTAGGATGGTCTATATTATAGCAGACTTAAAATGAGAGTTGCTAAGTGAAAAATCAACTTATTCAAGAATCTGTGAACATGAAACAGAAGCTATAAGAATAAAAATCTTATGTTTAGACAGGCATTACCTTTCAGATATCTCAACTGTATCTTTTGGGCCTTTTTCAAAATAACTTTTGGGAAAGATTATCTAAACAATTGAAGCTGACATAAAAGAATCAAAGAATGAAACTTTAACTGGGAAAGATGATTGGCTTAAGAGTTTTGTAAATTTCAATTTTATTTTTAGGTTTTCTACAAAGCATATTGCCAGAATTATTTTATATAATCATATGCCTGATATCCTATGCTGTCTTTGTCAGGGCACACAATCTGGTCACCTAACAGACAGGCTTGGGAACAGATCTAGAGTTAGCTTAGTAATACGTTCAGCTAATTAGCATCACATTTTAATACTAAAAAGTTCATAAATTACTTTAAAATACTATTTTAGAAAGTATTAAATTTCACACTTGCTTTTCTATCAGATTTGTGTTACTAGACTTATGAATCCACAGTTTAGAGAGGAAAAATACACAAATGTGTATTATATTAAAACACAACAAAAAACACAAAGTGCTTTTGCTTTTAACAAACCACTTTAAAAAAAAAAAAAAAACCTTGTATAACTGCCATTAGTACTACTTAGTACTTCATTCACGTAATACTAAAATATCTTTATCCATAACATGATACAGTAATGGACGGGAGCACACACTTTTGCATCTATCTGGTGACATTAAAAAATAAAATATTCAAATTAATGTACTGTATGCTACACTGCTGATGTGAGGTGACATATTTTTTAATCAGTTTTTCATTCTTTCACCATTCATGCCCTGAAACAGACTTCATCATTTAACTGTCTTTTAGACTGTCTTCAACTATTACTTAAATGTGATAAAATGTATTCTAAGTGTATGGTTTAATGAGTTTGACAAATGTATTTACCCATGTAACTAGTATCACCATTAAGATCCATAACATTTCCATCACTCTAAAAAGGTGCTTCTTGATCCTTGAGGTAATCCTCTCTCTCTCTCACATAAGGCCCTTGACAACCACTGATGTGTCTATTTTAGAATTTCATATAAATAGAACCATACACTGCTTTGGAAATGGATTCATTTTCTTAGACATATTAGTAACCTATTCCTTTTCATTGCTGAGTAGTATTCTTGTGTGTGAATGTTCCATAATCTGTTTATCCATTCTTGGTGGTAAGCTTTAAGAGGACCATACTAAGTTGCAGAGAAGTAGGGAAGGGAAGAACCAAAACAGACTAGATAGAAAAACATTTGTAATGGCTTTCATAATCATACCACGATCATAAAACAACTGTGCGGCTGTCTAACTCCATCCCTGATGAAGTAAGAGAGATTACCTTAAACATGCTGTGGTCTGAAAGACAATCTCACAGTAAAGAGCTGCTATGTATAATGCTCTCTAGTGGAAAAGAGGTTATCATTATTTGCAACATTATGGGAACCCAGGATAGGAGACCATATTAGCTTTTATATATCCATCTCTGCCCAAAACACCTGAATAGGGCAACACATCTTATATTGTGAAAATTGGTAACTGGTAACTTCTGAGCATATTTCAATAAACCAAGTCAAACCTTGGAAGGACTATCTGAATTCCTTTCAAGGATTATTCTTCCAAAAGTCTGAAACATTTTCAGAACATGAGAAATGGCAGACATTCATGGAGAAAGAAAAGTTCAAATTTGAAGTAGTTGGGTAAGATTACTTTCTTGAAGATAAAGACAGAGTAACTTCTTTTGACCATTTAGCAAATTGACTATGCTAGAATATACTATTCTTAAGACTAGTTGAGGCTTTCAAAAGCACTTTCAGATATAAAGTTAGATAATTCCTATTTTTCAGATAATATAACATTTACAGACTTGCTTAAAGGTGTATAAGCTAGCCAACTACACAAATCCAAAGCTCATTTTGAAGCAAGGAAAACAAGAGTATATTAAGAATACCTCTTAATATGTTTCTCATAAGTTGCTAAAATTTTGCTTTACTGGTTCTGAACAAAAAGCTTTAGCACTGTCCATATAAAAATACAGTATTTTGTAGAACTGAAATTTCCTTGTATTCTGCTGATCAAGCAAGGAGTATTTCAACAGAGGAGAGAACACAGTTAAGTGTAAACCTACTAAACACCAATTAAAACATACATACATAGATATATATATACATGCACACACACTCTCCTCTTTCCCAGGCTCTGTAATGCAGCAAAACTACATTTATTGTTTACGTTTATGATGTCACTCAACAAGAATATCACTGGTCAGATTAATAAACTTTTATTCACAAAGATTTTATGTAATGAAATTAGGTATAAATGTAGATGTACTCTTTTCCCCAAAATTCTTGACCTTAATATATTCGTATAAGAATATATGCACTTGTTCCTATAACCTTTAAACCTCTGGATAAAGAAAAAACTGGCAGTTAGTATTGTCTGCCTAAAAATCCTAATTGTTCTCTTCTCCAATATAGGCAAGTCTATAAAACAAACAAAAACAGGCTGAGCACAGGGGCTGATGCCTATAATCCCAGCACTCTGGGAGGCCAAGGCTAGAGGATCACTTGAGCCCTAACAGTTTGAGATCAGCCTGGGCAACACAGACCTTGTCTCTACAAGAAGACCAAAGCAAAACAGCAAACAAAAACACAAGCTGGATATTGTAGCTCATGCCTGCAATCCCAGCAATTTGGGAGGCTGAGGCTGGGGGAATAGGTGAGCCCAGGAGTTGGAGGCCAGCATCAACAACACTGTAAGACCCTGTCTCTACAAAAAGTAATAAAAAATAAATTAGCTGGGCATGGTGATGCATGTCTATAGTCCCAGCTACTCAGGAGGATGACAGGGGAGGATGCTTTAAGCCCAGCAGTCCAAAGCCACAGATCATACCACCGCACTCCAGCCTGGGTGACAGAGCGAGATCTTGTGAAAGAAAGGGAAGAAAAGGAAGGGAGGAAGGAAGAAAAGCAGGGAGGAAAAGAATGAAAAAATGATAACATGCATTCCTAATTTTTAAAAAACTGATTTATTTAAAGTTCAAGGTTTCAGTCTTTCAAAAACGCTGGCAATTTGCAAGGTCTGACTTTTGAAATGTGAGATAATGAAAAGTTGTAAGCTTGAATTTTTAAAACAACATTTAAAAAGAACCAGACTGCGGAGTGACAATGACCTCAGATATTTTACTCAATGGACTCATATATAAGAATAGTTAAGATGCTTTTGGGTACATCTTATTACATCATTTACTTTCCCTTGTCTACTTGAAATTTTATAAATTTTAAAATGTATTTCTCATTAGACTATTATTAAATGATCCCAATCTCATCACTGTGCAAGAGAAATGAGCTCAAGTAATATGTCTGCCTACTTAAAAGGAGTCACCAAATGTGGGTCACTACAATACTGGAATGGCTTTTACCCTTAATTGTGTTACATTGCTTAAAAGTTAGAAATAGACAACTGAACAATGCATATTCACTGTCATGCTTTTATGCAATCTTCTATTCTTACATGGTCTATGTTAAAGGCATGCTAATCTTTCATGTGGTAATCTGATAGACAAGTATCAGACCTATTACATAGTCTCACAATGAAAATAAAGTCTCCCCCACCATGATAAAATATTCTAGCAATGGAATAATTAAGTAAACTTTCCAGCTTCTTAAAGATTCCTTCTGTTACATAAGAGGTCCAAGCAAACATCAATGTCAGTGTATTTGATAAGGTTATATAAAGATCAGTCAGGAATGGAAGACAGAAGACGTGAGGAAGTTGATTTAAGATCTTCATTCCATAAATAAACATTACATTCAAATAATTACTGTTATCTTCCAACTTACATATGCATTTTAAAGTGACATTTAGATGATCA